ATAGAAATCTGAACAGAATTTAGAGAAAATATGATACTGTTTCCTCAAAATTCTTTTCAGATTTCTATGTAAAAATAAATAAAATGCCGCCTAGTTTTTATTATAATAAAAATTTATTGTTGAAGGTTTCACAAGTGTACATGAATTTTTTTTTAATATTTTATAAAATTTTTATAATTTTATAAAAATATTTTTTAAAATATGGTGCCGAACCATAAAAAATATACTCTTTTTCTCTTAACGGTCCAGAGAGTAAACTATGATCGAAAATTGTGATGCTGAAGGGTTAAGTATGTAAAAAAATCAGGGTTGGCAAGTAACGTTATTTATAACATTGTTATCATTACAAGTTACTTTTTTCAGTGACGAATGGTCACGAAATGTAACGACATTATATTCTTTTCTGAGTAACGTTCATAGTAACGCAGTTACATTTTTGAGGTAATGATATATTTCTAGTTATTTTCATTGTTACTTTATTTCTAACTACGTAAAAATTTCGTCGTAACTATATAGTCCTAGAAAACACGAGATGAAATATTAACGATCTGATTGACTGTCTAAATTATGATTTCTTTTTTTCATTGTACTCATTTCTTTCATTGTACTGTAGTTTACACGTATAGATTAACTCAGATATAATCTTTACAGTATATTTAATTTCTTAAAAGAAATTTTTTCTGTATAACATCTCATAAATTAAATATATGTATATATAGATATAATAATATAGATTACAAACAATATTATTTTTTTATTATGATATAATTTTACCCTTCACGATAAGTCATTCATATCTTGATTTATATATGTTTTTTTTCTTCAAAATACTGTACCTGGTTAAATAATTTTTCCTATCCTTTCTTTTTAAATATACAATTTTATTAATGTTTTTTAAAACTGTTAGAATATGTATAAGAATTTATTCATAATTTTTGTATATTTGCAAAAATTGGATTGGAAATGGAAATTAACCCACATAAACGATCTCTATAGAAAGAGAAACATAGAATGTGTTAAATAAGGAAAGATTCAGTATCAATTTCACGATGCGAAACATGCTAGTATTCATAATCGATTCTTGCATTATATAATATGAAACGTTCATTTCAAAATGCAAGCTTCGGATTGGCTGTCGCAACAATCTTGCGATCGGCTTGTAACTAATGTAGAACTGGCTAAAGAGAAATAGGAGGGGATGTTTGGTTCTAAGCAAGTGGATGAAAGTGACTATATAAAGTTTGTTTACGTCGCACGCTTCAACATGCTCAACACGTTCCAATATGTTCGTGTTACCGGAACCAATATGGCAACTATTGTAGATGTTCGCGTTAGAGCATACTCCATGGATCAATTAATACTCGTATTCATAATCAGGCCTTATATTTAAGGCTTCCTTAAATTTATTTTTAGATACTCTACGAATTATTTCATTGGCTGTTGAGCATTTAAAGATAAATTTAAGGAAGATAAATACAAGATAAATACAAGATATGAATACGGGCATAAGAGCACCATTTGCTTTACCATAGAAGGTGAGGCATGTTACACACGCATGCATAATGATTGAAAATGTATTGTATCGAAAAAAGTATTTCAGATTCATTTTATATAAAAATGCATTTAATAAACGCGTTTTTGATATAAATATAAAAATATAATAATATAATATTAATATTAAAATAATATAATAATA